TATATATATATATATATATATATATATATATATATATATATATATATTAGAAATTTAGAGAAATGCTGTCGATGTGTGTGTGGGTGGGGATACTATCCTTTATTTTCCTCATCTCTATATTTCACTTGCTTTTTTTCCATATACTCACATGTGCCTCTCTCTTTCTGTGTTTCGCTTCACCCCCTCTCTCATTCTCACTCTATCCATCTGTCTGCTGATAAAGCACATTTTTTGAAGAGAACCCCCTCCCCATTTCATCACGGGATGTAATAATGATGACGATGTGTGTGCATGTGTATTTATCACTGGGACGCCCCATGGGGATCCCTGCACTCTTATGTGTTCAGAAGACATTACTATGTACCATGAAAAATATGATGTGCATTTGGCCAGTGTGTGTGTATGAGCGGCATTGTGTGCTTATATCGATGAGAAACAAGCTAAACAGGAAGGTAGGACCCTCTTAGGAGCTTGAAAAAGCTTTTTGACCATGAAACAAAGTGGAAACTATCACAGACATATTCTCGCAGCTCTACAGGCGATCGCTTTGTGGTCAGGTTTTTGTATCGAGTGACTAAATCATGGTTTGCTGCAGTATTGTCAGACCTTTTCCTCATAAAATAGAATGGCTGCACACACACTCTTTACTATTACTGAAAAACTGCACACAAAAGGCATTTCTTCACAGAGTTTATTGTGAATGTGAAGTAAACGCCAAGAAGCCTGTTATCAGATGAGATTGTATCGTGGTAGAGGGTCATCTAACGTCTGTATGTGTGTTACAGGAGGTGTTGTGGATAAAGATCTCAGGCAGTATCTCAACCTGCGTTTCCAGAAGGGCTCTTTGGACCACGAGCTGCAACAAATAATTCGGGACAACCTCTATCTTCGTACGGTACCCTGTGAGTAACTCGTCACCCTGATTTCCTTAACCTGTAACACTGCTGCTCTTACTGGCTTTGTCATCTCGGCCTGGCCACTGACTTCTTATTGATTAAGTCCTGGCTGATGTTGTCTGATCACTGCAACAGGGTAGTCTCACTTTGTTTTACGTATATCAAATCGTTTCGGACCCTGCAACGATGATAGGGTGGATGTCAAAGCATTGGTATTGGGTTGGTTGCAAGGCTGTTTGCTTTCTAGCAGTGTTAAGGTGCGGTCACCTTAATGTAATTTCTGCCAATTTTTCAATACAAAAAAGGTTAATCGTCAATAACATAACAATGTATGAAGCACTGCTCTCTTTCAAATCAAACAGCTGTCTGTTGGTCAACATTGCAAATTTTGGAGAGACCAACTTGAAGCAGTTGCGAAATCTGTGTGGGGAATAACTCAACTTTATGCAAAATTCCTGGTCATGTTGATTCCTATCGAAATGATTGGATTTTGCATGTGAAAATTCTATGATTAATCGCGATTAATCGCATCCAAAATAAAAGTTTTACGTAATATATGTATGTGTACTGTGTATATTTATTATGTATATATAAATACACACACATACAGTATATATTTTGAAAATATTTGCATATATGTATATACATTTATATATTTGTATCTTTATATATAAATATATTTAATATATAAACATAAAATATTTGTCTTAAATATACACATGCATGTGTTTGTATTTATATACACATAATAAATATACACAGTACACACGCATATATTATGTAAACCAAAACTTTTATTTTGGATGCGATTAATCGCGATTAATCGTTTGACAGCACTAGAAAATTCACATTCAGTGGTAGAAGTTTTCCATTTAAAGGACCTTTTTGCTCCTTGAAGTTGATTTCTAGATGTATATTTGCATATAAAATATTTTTGTGTATTATTATTTATGTCTAGTACTTTGATGTAATGAATTAATTAACAAGTGATCAATCTTAAATTATTTATTTAAATGTATTATTTAAAAGTATGTTATTTAAATTGATTATTTAAATGACTAATTATTAAAAAATCAACAGTATTTTATGCAATATTGTAAATAATTAGGCTTATTGGAATATTGGAATATTGGAAAATTGGAATATTATCAGAAATAATATATAGAAATATATATTTTTTAGCATTGACATTTTGCATATTGGGGCCATTTTTGTCACTTTTAGTTTTCCCTGTACCCCTGGTTAAGATCGATCTTTTCTGTAGTTGCTTGCTTGCTGGCCCAACCCAAAAGAACCCACCTTGATATCAATCTTCATAATCTGAGATGTTTAGGTCAAACATTTTTAGCAAATTAGAATTTTTAAGAACTCACCAAACTGAACTTTAGTATGCAGTAAAGCACATGAAAGTGCATAAAACACAAAGTCTAGTGCAACCACCCAGTTGTGGTTGAAAATACCCTTAAAAAGAAAACTAACTTCGCTAGTCTTTATAGTTATAATGAAGTGAAGTTTGTATCTGTATACTTAGAGTTGTAGTCCAGAACCAAAGAGGTGTTTTGAAACATTTGAAGATATTATACACAGTATACTTTGTCTTTGGACTGCACCGACGCATGAACGGATTTCCGTGAAGCTTTTGCTCAAGTGAAGCCCTTGTGTTATGTGTGAGAGCAAGCGAGTGAGTGAAAGAGAGAGAGAGTGATTACTGTCCAGCAGAGAGACTGAGCTGTGATTCCATTAGACCAGAGGGCCACACGTGAGATCCGTACCCGAGAGAAAGAGAGAGGTCTGGAGAATACAGATGAGAGAGAGAGAGGGATGGACTGACAGAGATTACGATAAAAAAATGAGAATGAGGTGTGAGGACCCTAGATAAAACGCAGCAGATGTCGGATTCATTGAACACTTGCAAGAGGAAAAAGAAACAAGGAAACTGATAGCTTGAAATAAGAAGAGTGAAATTGAGGTAGAGAGGAAGATTGGATAATTTGAAAACCCATGCATACAAATTTAGTTTTATTCATATGTAATGTAACTGCTCTGTTTCAAAAGCTAGTGAGCTGCCTACTTAGAAAACATTTTAAGGGCATTAGATGTGTTCCTGACAAGAAGATAGTTCCAAAAGGTGACCAGCATCATGTTACCTTCTAAGAAACTTTGTTTTGGCTGTCCCAGAATGCATTGTGAACATTTTTTCTCCAATATAGTGGACAGGGTCATTGATTTTTCTCAGTGATGATGGTGTATTATGAATTTGAATGTGTATTGTTAGACATATACAATGTACAATTTAATGATAGCTAATAAGAGGTACACAACATGTTTATATCAAATAAAATAAATATCTTATTTTTTGATAATGCCATTTAAATTCACAAAAATAACCAAATGGAAAGAGAAATAGATTTTTAAGGTTATCAGACCATTAGGTGTTAATGATTGTCATGTGGTTAGCATAGCGATATGCTAATGGCACACAAAATAGTTTCGCTTTCACAACGAATCACAGCGTCTTCACGACATGGCTGCAGCGTCAACAATACTACAGCAAGACTAAAAGTTACGCCTTCTTTCTTTGCGTGAACATTTGGGCGGCGTTATGCAAATCTTCCCACATAGTGAGGTAGATATGTGGGAGCGCGTTAGAACGAGCCGTTTTAGGTAGGCGTGGCTGACTCTGATTTTTTATAAAGAATATCTCTTTGGATTTGAGACTTTAGTCTTTGCAACTTTACAGATCTTCTTTATGCACCAAGAGCTTGTAACACTCCAAAGAGAAAGGAAAAATTGAAATCGCATCATATGACCCCTTTAAAATCAGTTGTCAGGTACGCTTTTCAGTAGATTCATGCGATGAGTGCTATTTTGTCTTCCACATTCTAGTAATCACAAAATGCCCAAATAGAGACCAATAATTAATCTGCTTACTCTTATATTGTCAGGTTATTTGATTAGAACAGTGCTAATAGAATCAATTGATTGATAAATGTGAGGAAGCGCTATTTTGTGGTGCTCAAACTAATAATCTCAAAATGCCCAAATATCAACCAATTATTCATTGTGTTGCTAGCTTAGCACACTCTATTGTATTAAAGTTCAGGTCTTAATAGAATCAACTGTTTGATAAACTTGAGAAGTGCTATTTTGTCTGCCACATGCTAATAATCACAAACAGTGTTGGGGTAACGCATTACTTTATAATTGACAAGAGAATATCTGAGTTACTTTTTCAAATAAGTAACGCAAGTTACTTTTTTTCCAATTGATTGATTGACAGCTCTCCTGTCCCCATGTTGAGAGAAATCAGAAGATGTTACTGTAGTTCTAAAATAAATATGAATATGCATTAATTCATCTCACTCAAATATTATTCTTCAAAATGAATAAAAATAATGCAACTATGTATTTAATCCCATTCTATTAACCAATGTCTTTGCTTCTGACCTTCGATGATCCAGTTCAACCGTACTAATAAGCAAATATTACTCTAGACAAACATTTGTGTGTCTTTTTTTATTGCTGAAGTGTGTTGAACTTTCTTCTTCTGCATTCTACTGTAATTTTACTTTCCCTTCAGCCTGAGGCGTATTCATTTCACTTTTGGTGTGAAAAGCTTTTATATTTGCCAAAAAAATTTCTTTTTATTTTAAAAACAAACAAGCAAGCCCTGTACAGATTTAAAAAGTAACGCAAAAGTAACGTAATGCATTACTTTCCATAAAAAGTAACTAAGTAACGTAATTAGTTACTTTTTTATGGAGTAACGCAGTATTGTAATGCATTACTTTTAAAAGTAGCTTTCCCCAACACTGGTCACAAATGCCCAAATTTAGACCGATTATTTGATCAGTTATCTTAGATTAGCACCATGCTAACATTACACTCTGTTGGAATCAGTTGTTTAAACGTTAGGAGCTCTATTTTGTGTGGCAGATACTGTAACATTAATCTCAAAATGCCCAATATTAACCAGTTATATATGTTGTGTTACTACAGTACTTATTAGTTTCTCATTTGTTAGCTTAGCAACATGCTAATGTTACATTGGATTTAACTATGAGGTGCGGCACTTGATTTACCTGATTAGTGCTATTTCTTTCTGGCGTATGCTGATTATCTTAAAATGCCCAAATATTGACAGATTTTTTTACTAATTAGCAATTTAGCAACATGCTATTGTTAAACTATTTTGGAACGCGTCTATTTTGATTCTCACTATTATGTGTGTCGTGAGGAGTTGTTGCCTATGTAGAGTGCTCCAAATCAGTCACTTATGAGGTACATTGTATGAAATTGCACACTCATAAAATACAGTGGGTATAGAAAAGAAACCCCCACCCTTTGAAAAAAATCACATTTTGTTGCTTTGCAGCCTAAAATGAAGATAGACCGTTTTTGTTTTATCCAGCTGTATTTACTCAGTGTATCTTCTAACATTCAAGTGAAAGATATAACACCAAACAAAATGTGACTACAAAGCAAATGCAAAGCAGCACAATGTGATTATTTTAAAGGGGGGTGATTCTTTTCTATACCCACTGTACATTTTCTCATGAGATCAGGTTATCAAGTTGGTTTGGATCTTGCCTTTGAAGACAGCTGCCTATGTAGGCAGTAGACAGCCAGGAATCTTACTAGATTTTGGAGTTTACATTTCACAGAATATTATTACTGCAGAATTGAGTTTCTGTACGAGAGAAAAAAAAACAGTCACTCCAGAGAAAGGTGAGGATGTGTCCTCGTTGCCGTCACATTATCAGTCACGTGACTGGCTGCTTGCTGAGTAATGACAGTAATGCTCATAATCACAGAACTGCCTCATGAATTATGCAGCAGATCTATTACAGCTTAGGGTGCCATGACAGGTTACTCCTGCCACACACACACACACACACACACAGGGAAGAGACAGGGTGACATTAGAAGTTGTTAGTGCTGACATTGAACCTCTCCAGAAATGAGACGTGAGACACTATTATAAATGGGGGACGCAGTGTCCTCTA